AGCATCGAAAGCACCCAGGTCTCCTTTCATAAAGTTTCCACCCCGTAGAGAGAGACGGTCCAGACGCTCACGGTCCGGATGATGGTGAGCATTGATATTCAGCCGATCTGGGGGGAACTCGCTCGCGGTGGCTCTCCCCTCCAGAAGCATCTTCCAAAAGTCATCTGGTGTCACGGCGTCTCCGGGGAACTTGAGTGATAAGCCCACAATTGCCAGAGGCGGCAAGCCCTGATCTGAACATGTCGACATGATTGACATACAAGACAAGTCGAAAAGCAAGCAGTGAACAGGGTGTAAACAGATCTCAGGTAGGAATCGAGCTTTCTATGTCGATGTCGATACTCTGTGGATAATATAACCTTATAGACCTGTGCTTTCGAGGGAATTACAATTCAGTTACCTTATTTCCACCATAGTTGCAAATCTTGGCACTTAAATCAATGGACCCAAGAATGCATCGCCACGTCACTTGCTAGGGCATTTCGATAAGTCTCATCAATACAGCGAGAGAATCTCGGCCCAGTCATTGGGCTACTAGAGCTCCTGCATTGTGGAAAGCTTAAATGTACCCAATCTGATGCTGGAGATCATTGACTTCAGTCACAAGGTAGCGCGACAAGTATTATGCAGCTTCTTTATGCAAGCTGCATGGCCCTTGTCACTCTGATGATCTGTACGTATCATACGGTTTTGAGAAGGAGGCAGGCGTCCATGCAGCTCCACTAGAGGTTGCCAGGCAGAGAATATCGCACCGCTCTTTCGTCGTCGCAACGCCTACTTGGCATTGAATCATTTCCGATCCAGTACCTTCCATGTAGGGCTTCCACTGGCATCTCCTACGAGGAAACCTTGCAAATGATATGGGAAGCTCTACGGAATTTCCATCTTGCCCTTTCTCATAATGAAGTCCCGCCATGCGCTAGGGCTGCACGATTTCTGGTAAAACATCACAAAACCAAATATGCATTTAATTCTGTGTTAAAATCCCATATGCATTCCGACGTATGTTACAGAATACGATGTAAATTTCATGCGTGGATGTGCTCGTATATGGTTATCACAAAAGCATTGGTTTATTTAAATTCCTTCAGCCCCGAGATGAAATCCCTTGGAACCCCCGTTCGACAGAGTACTCAAGTCTATATTCTATACCTTTCATGCCCTTTAGAACGAGATTTCGACTTTGTCCGACTGAAATCCGTCAAAATGAGGTTTCTCTGGTACATTTCATCGACCTGCTAACTCACGGTTGGATCGGCTAACCCTCTCTAGTCTACATGGCATTGGAAGCAATTCCCAGGCAAGCATTGCTACTTTGAACTCATTTGGGCTTTAAGAAGACTCACTAATATGGACTGTCTCAGATCTTTGAACAGCAAACAGGTAATTCAACAAATACCATTAGCTGCATGCCAAAACTGATAGGCTAACTGCATTCCCAGCGGCTATTAGATATGAGCTTGGCAACCAACATACCTACGATTTTGTCGAGGGAGTAGTGCCCTGGGAGTCATGTAAGGTGACCTGCTACCTCATAGAGTCCTTCCTTACAATAGAGCAGCCATTCAACAAGTCGCCGAAACAAACGAAGCAACATTCGCTTTTTGTGATCCTCAACAGCCGCAATCATGCCGACAGGCTGTTATCGACTTTGAGAGGTACATCAAGGAGGAGGGCCCGTTCGACGGGATCATTGGATTCAGCGTGGGAGCCACCATGGCACTATCATGCTTGCTGGACTGGGATCAGACGAAGCAGGGAGTGAGGTCCCATGTTACGCCATTCAAAGTGGCTGTATTTTTCTCGAACGCCAGCCAGCCATACGATCTCGATGCATTGGCTAGTGACCATATTGCTTATTTGAATTCCGCCCAAATTGGGAGAGTGCTTAACATGCCTACTGCCCATATCTGGGGATCGGCGGACCCACAAGCTGCGGACGCAAGGCGAGCTGTGGAATTTTGTGATCCGGAAAAACGATCCGTCTTCGTGCATGCAAGCGGCCACGAAATTCCTGATTCGGTGGAGAACGCGGTATCCATCGCGAAGGTGATCAATCGGGCCATCTCTCAAGTTGAGGGCAAATGAATGCGGAATTGTTGAAGTCCCCTTGCAGGAAAGTGACTGTGTAACCCCTATGTAGCAAGCTATAAACCAATGAGACGGTATGAACACGTAGTTACAGAACCAAAGTACTGTCTCACTACCCTGTAAGGCGACCGTCCAGCCTAGCAGCTCTTTTTATTACATTCTGCATGCTCTGAAGGCCCGATGTGGCAGCCTTTCGGTTTCTCGTTTAGCTGGTGCCCTATCCCATACTCAGGGAACGGAGCCTGAATAAGAACCAGCATCCTACCGCGTCTTCCGCGTACTACCTACCCAGATAGTCATGTCCGAAAAACAGACTCTAGATGGTGTCAGTCGGACTATCAGTGAAGACCATATAGAATGGGAAGGTGCTTTACATGGGTTCGCCTTATACCTCGGGGCTTTTGGGTAAGGAACAATCTATGCGAACGAGCTGTATATTTGGTAACATCTTCATATGCTGATTCATCGTAGGCTCGGTCTGGCTCTCTTCCTTACTGGTATCGAAGTCACGATTGTGAGCACATCCTTGGTTACCATCACCAATGATTTCGACGATTTTGGTCGAAGCAGCTGGGTCATCACATCCTACTTGCTTACCTATAGTGGTACCGACGCGGTCAAACGTTCAGAGAATGTTCCTTGACTAAGCTTCTTGAATCTAGGATTCCTTATGGTTTGGTCCAAAGCTGGTGATATCTGGCGACTGAAAACCAGTCTACTCGCTGCTCTCTTCATGTTCACGGCGTTCTCCGGCGGCTGTGGAGGTGCACAAAGTCTCAGTCAACTGTGCGTTCGATATTCTTCCTTTCCACTGTGGCCCGAAATGAAGATAAGCTGATCGTATATATGCAAGAATCATCTGCCGGGCATTCCAAGGGGTAGGCGGTGCCGGTGTATACTCTCTCACACTATATTCCTTCGTCCGTATAGTCCCCTACCGACAGTATGACACCATAAGCTCTGTCGCTGGTGGTATCTTGTCTCTTGGACTTGTCCTTGGCCCTTTGATTGGAGGTGCTGTTGCCGACAAGGGCAATTGGCGCTGGGCTTTCTTGTGCAAGTACGGTCGCCTCATTTCTACCATCATTCACTGGTTCTGATAACAGCTACAGTGTTCCAGCCGGGGCCTTTGCCTGGATACTCTTACTTGTCGTGCTTCCAGCTAACTTCCCCGATGCTCCGTCTGCTGAAGCTGCTTCACTTACATACAAGAAAGTTGGGCTGAAGATAAAGACTTTCTTCCTACGGGTAGACATCTTTGGCGCTTTTTCCCTGTTGGCTGCATCCTCATTTGCTATCGCAGCCCTGCAAGAAGGTAACTTTGAGTACCCATGGTCGTCTGGTCTTGTGATCAGTTTTCTAGTTATCTCAGGAATCTTCTGGGTCATATTCATCTTGTGGGAGTGGTTTATCGGTAAGAAGGGCCTCAATATTCACGCAATGTTCCCCTGGAGACTGGCGAGTAACCGGATCTTCATGGGCGCTGCCCTGTAAGCGATCCTTTGTCCATAATGATGGCTCTTCCTCGGACGTGTACTTATCAGGATGACAGGGGATTCTTAACAACTGGCCTCCCACTAACTGTCAGTATCATTATGATTCCTCAGCGGTTTCAGATCGTCGATGGTTGTTCCCCGATCGGCGCCGGAGTCAGGTTTCTATCCTACGCGCTAGCCACCCCAGTCGGGATAATGTCCTGCTCTGTGCTAGCTGGGCGCCTTCGGATACCATTCTTCTACATTACACTCGGCGGTATAGTCCTCCAGGTGGTTGGTCTCTTCTTATTTTCCGAAGCCGCTTTCGCCACGAAGACCTCAGCTGCGCAGTATGGATATCTTGTCCTGGCTGGACTAGGGACAGGTACCACTGTAGCGGCATTCTACATGATGGCGCCGCTTGTGGTCGATGGTAAAGATCAATCAATCGCCTTGAGCACCGGGCTCCAGCTTCGAATGCTGGGTGGTGTCCTGGGCGTTTCAGCAGCAGCTACCATTCTACATGACTATCTCAAGAATCGACTGTCGGGGACCCTGAATCCTGACCAACTCGACCGCCTGCTCGCCTCCAGCGATACTATTGAAATGTTTCCCCCCTCTATTCAACTTCAGGTCCGGGAGGCTTACTCGGCCGCCTATAGTGCACAGGTGAGACTTGCGGGGGGATTCGCCGTGGCTCAGTTGCTGGCTGTCGCCCTGATTTGGAAGCGCTCAAATGTGCGGTATATCAAACGCTAGCCATTTACCTCCCACCTGGACATGAAGGCGTCACTCCAAAGTGGCTTGTAACTATACGGTCAGATGGGCTGCTGCGACCTTCGAAGTGGGCCGCAACTGAAGTGGTATGTGAGCTCCTCGGTCCTACTCCGTTTCCGGAGAAGAATCCTAGATGACCATGCAAGGGGCTGGGTATTGATCAAACTGCAGATTTGAAATAATTGTTTTCTTTTTATCTCTGTGCAGGTGTACAGAAGTCGTGTATATTATTCTACGTGGGAGCAAGCAAGGGATATTTATTGGTGAAACGTCTCCCCTTCTTGGTTTAAAGTGCTTAAACCCTTGTCACTCCACAGAGTCCACACAACCTACGACTAGTCTGGATTCCACATAGAACATACCTTGAGTTTCCTATTGCATTTGGAAGAGATCATCCTCACCGCTCCCTCCAGGGATCCACAATTCTTGAGTATTGAGCACTTAGGCAATGGCGTCAATCTGGATATGCACGGTCTGTCGATATGATAGCTCAGTCACCTATATCGCGGGTTGAATGACAGGCCATGACACCTCTATAGACTCCACACCCATAGACTAAAGAGTATGGCCCAATCCGGGTGACTAGATTTGTACCCTGGGACTCTACCGGCCTACCAACGCACACCCCGTTTTCAGCCCTCTCCTTTTGGAAACCAATTAGCCCAACAGATCCTCCAGCTTTCCTAGAGAGTCAACCCGAAGCGCAGCACAATCATCCAACCAACAACCACCCTTCTCATCATACAGCAAAGCCAAAACACCCGCAGCCTGGGCCGGGACAACATCCCGGTTCTCATTATCCCCAACATACACCATATCCTCTGCAACAACCCCATACCTTTCCAAGACAGCAGGAAACAGCCCATCAACCTTCGACAGCCCAATCTCATTAGTCGTGACCAGCACGTCAACGTACCGTCCCAGCCCAAGTTCCTCCACAGTCCACTGCTGCGCATCCTGCGGCCCCTCCGTCACCACAATGACCTTCTTCCCGAGGCTCTTAATCCGCTGGAGTAGTTGCAGTGCCCCCGGTTTCAGCGTCAGCGCTGCCCGTAGATGACTCTTATATACTTCCAGGAGACGGTCCAGCCTCTCCAGCCGTGCCTCCAGTCCATGGGCCTGGAGAAGAAGCGAGAACCGTTCCCTGCGATATTCGGCTGATGTCCTTCCGTCCGCGAATGCACCCGCCGTTGTTGAGACGAGTATATCCCGGTAGGATGACTTGAGGTCGTCGAGATTGATATTTGGGCTTTCTTCCCGGATCGCTGTGAAGACTGCTAACGATGCTTGGGCAGATGCCTTACGGAATTCGTGCAGTGTGTCGTCGAGGTCGAACCCGAACCATGTTTTCGACGATAATGATGTTCGAAACGTGGCTAGATCTTGGTCTTGATTGGTTTGGGACATGGTTGCCAGTGATGACTTGTTAGGGCTTCTCTGGGTCGTGGCTCGTGATCCAGGTGGTTGTAACTATGTGTTTGTTGATGACTCATGGGGTATGGTGTATATACATCGTTTGAGTGTGGGACTGTAGATAAATACTATTAGTATGACTATTGGTACATTTTATCTGGACTTTTACAAGGTGAGTCACCGGTAAGACGGCGAAATATGGCCTTTGGATGGCGTGATGGTGTCGATTTTGCATTCGCTTTTGGAAATATATATCCTCCACCTATTAGTAGTAATGCCTGTAGTAGAATGGGGAGAATATTAATTCAACAGGATTGCAATATATATTCCCCTCAGTTTCTGCTACTTCCACTAAGCAGTACAGGTGCTTATTTGACGCATTACAACTTCTACGGTGTTGCTGTAGCCAACAGTGGGGTGAATTGCTGACCATATTGGCAGGAGTTGGTAGATCCGTCGACTGGCAGAATCCTTAGTTGCGCTAGAGGTTTAGCTTGTAATACCGCCAAAACTGGCCTTTACACATTCAAACAGGATGAAACCAAATGTACAGAATGAATTAATCATCGTGAATGTATTTTAGAAGAAAATGAACCGTATTTTGTAAAGGGCATTCGTGGTAATGTAGAGAGGGGCTAGATATAAAGATGTTTGTGCTGTTTGCACAAAAGACCGCCACCCGCAGCTGTCACACGTGACAATGTGGCTGGAGCCTCTTGGCACCTTTCATCATCATCAAAGTTCCTTGTCATGAAGTGAAAAAAAAACAACCAACTCATTGTTATACCCTCGTTCTCTCCCCCTTTTGGAACAACGCCGCACTGCTTAGTCTTCGTCCGACTGTTTGCCACGCAAGACAAGGGAGGTCTTTCTAAACAGGTTTTCCAACGCGCGAGTGCGAGTGATCGGGCAGACTTCTTCGACTCCCCTTCCTTATCTTTTCCTTCGGGCCGGACTTCGACTGCGCGAGTTCTACGCCATGACTACGGTAGTTGCTGTTGGTACTCCCCTTGCGGAGGCCTTGAGTAATGTCATCCAGCCGAAGCTGGTAGAGATGGGATGGAGCTCCGACGGCGGCGATGATTCAGCGTTGACCGAATACGTGATTCTTATGCTTGTCAACGGCAAGACACAAGAACAGATTGCTGGCGAACTCTCCAACGATCTCCTCGGACTCGGGGAAGGCGATACACAGGCCCTGGACTTTTCGCGATGGCTCTTCGAACAGGTCGAGTTCCTCAACCAACAGATCAACGGCGGGGGGATTCAACAATCAATTGAAACCGACTCTGCGCAGGCCATTCCATCCTTCAACGACCAAGACGCCACCAATAACCAAGCGATGGTGACGGGAGATGGCGCTATGGATGCCGATATGAGCATGGGTGATACCGGAGCTGCAAATGATACGATGTGGGTTTCTCCCTTCGACTCTGCGGTGGCGACTTGGGCTGACACAGAAAACAATAGACCTACAGGACCGAAAGCAATGCGCAACAACAGACCAGGCGGGAGGGGTAGGATGCTTAACCAGATCAATCGTCAACTAGACCGCGGCGATTCTGCGTTACACCGCGTTCGTGGCCAGGCCGGTAGTGGACGTATTAACTCTCATGGCCGTGATCATACGAAGGGTCGCTTCAATCAGCATGGCGGAGGAAGGATGTCAGGCGGTCGTCCGATGGGTGGCATGGGTATGGGTATGGACCAAATCAAATGCCGGGTGGCCCAGGCAACATGATGAACATGACCCCGCAAGATCAGATGCATCTCATGTCTCTACTCGAAGAGCAAGCAAGGATGATGTCCCAGTTTATGCCCGGCTTTGTATCTCCAGCGATCAACCCAGCTTTCCAACAGAACGGACCGCAACAGGGCCGTTCATTGTTTGACCGCGTGGAACGCCAGCAGGGACGCCGCCATTTTAACAAGCGAGACGACAAGAATGCTGATACCGATATGGACACAAAGCCCGACCAGGGTGGTGAGCAGGATGAAAGCAACACGGACTCGATATGTCGCTTCAATCTGCGGTGTACCCGGAGAGATTGCCCATTTGCGCATCAGTCACCAGCTGCCCCCGAGGGCACTCCCGTCGATGTGTCTGACCCATGTACCTATGGAGCCGCTTGTAAAAACAGGAAGTGCACCGGTCGCCATCCGTCACCCGCCGTTAAGTCAGCGCATCAAGCCGAAGAGATGTGCAAGTTCTTTCCTCATTGTGCGAATCCCCACTGCCACTTCAAGCATCCCTCGATGCCACTCTGCCGGAATGGTGCAGATTGCTCGACTGAAGGGTGCAAGTTCACGCATGTCCAGACGCCTTGCAAGTTTAATCCTTGTCTCAACCCTTCGTGCCCGTACAAACACGCCGAGGGCCAGAAAGGAGCGTTTGCGGACAAGGTGTGGACTGCTGACGGACAAGAGAAGGCGCATGTGAGCGAGAGGAAATTCGTTTCCAATGAGGACGGTGCAGAGGAACTGATTAAACCCGGTGGCGCCGAAGAGCCGTCCCAAACCAACCAAGAGATTGCGACATAACTCAAAGAGCGATCTCTATGATTCCTTTTGATGACCTCACAGTTAAAATTCCCCATGTGGTTTAATATCATATCATGTATTATTTTCCGTGCGGACGATGGGTGACTGGTGACAAGGGCGTTTGCTTGAATTTATCTATAGGACTGGCAGAAAGAATATCAAACTGGCTTTGTAAATAGATCTGGATATCATATTATGAAATCTTCGACGCCATTGCATGGCGCTGTCTTCGTTTCTCACTGTCAACCATTCGTACTCATTAATACTGGTAGGACTTGAGAATAGGGCTGGGAACTTGGAAATTTATGTAATTTCCATACAATTACACCGCCGGCCGCCGGCAGCCTGTTGGAGCAGCTCACCTGATGGAGGCACGCAGCAACGTTCCCACCTTTGTTTTTCCAACCATGCTCCTCTTCGATCTTCACGCGCGGTTTCGTTCTCTCTAATTGCGGAGATGAGACTACCATGTGTCCCTAGCCGTGCACTCAGGGGGTTGCGCACGCCATTGGCGTTCGCCCGCATCGGCCAGAGATACTCCTCCACGTACGATGCTGCCGTCATTGGCGGTGGCATCACCGGTCTCACAGCAGCGTATCGGCTATCGCAGGACCCCAATTGCTCCAAGATCACCCTATACGAGAAGGCTCCTCGTGTAGGGGGCTGGTTACTGTCCGAAAAGATTCCGGTCGAAGGTGGAAACGTTGTTTTTGAGTATGGCCCGCGGACCTTGCGGACCGCCGTCCCCTCGTGTCTACCCCTTCTCGATTTGGTACAGTAGCCCATGCAATGCCCTATCCTACGAACATGAAGAGCTAACCCGCTTTGCATTCTATAACAGCTCGTCGAGCTAGACCTACATGATGACGTCCTCTTAACGAGCAGCTCGTCGCCTGCCGCGCGCAATCGTTATATCTACTATCCCGATCACCTTGTCCGTATGCCCGCGCCGGACCCCAATGCCGGACCGATCGAAAACATTACAAACCCAATATATGCTATGCTGCGGGAGCCGGTCTTCGAAGGTCTCCTGGCGAGCGCTATCTTGGAGCCAGTCCGGGCTCCTCCGGACCACAAGACATTCAACTCAGATGAATCCGTTGCGGACTTCGTGTCGCGCCGATTGTGCCCAGAGGTAGCAGACAACCTCGTTTCAGCTTTATTCCATGGCATCTATGCAGGTGACATAAGTCGGTTAAGCGCGCAGACACTGATAGGTACTTTCCGGGACCTTGAGAATGATGAACGCCGCGTTATCGGAGGCTACATTAATTCTTTGATGTCTGATGTCAAGCTTATGTCCATGGATGATCTGTTGGCCCTGGAATCTGTCGCACATGAGAAACCTGGGATGTATTGGAAAAGCTTACGGACGCTCGTCAACAAGACCAGCGTTCTGACGTTGAAAGACGGTCTGAGCCAGCTCTCGGACGCCCTGGCCGATGCTCTGAGCAAATCTAAGAAGGTTGACGTTTTGGCGAATACGGACGTTAAGTCCATTACTCAAAATCCCACGACCCACGACCTGATTGTAAGCCACCGGGAAAGCCTCCTATTCATCGCTACTGGTCGTTCTACTAACATGTATACGTTGTAGGTTGGATCTGGAAAAGACAGATCTCGAATCCACAACCGCGTAATTGCTACAATTCCAGCTCCCGAACTTGCAAAGAAGCTCGCGACCACGACCACGGAAGACCAGAAAGTACCTCAAAGTACTATTCGGAATCTTCAAGAGCACAATTATGCTGTAACAGTCATGGTTGTCAACTTGTATTTCCCTAACCCAGACCTCCTCCCGGTCAGCGGTTTTGGATATCTTATCCCGCGGTCGATCCCTTATGAGCAAAATCCCGAGAGGGCATTAGGGGTTATCTTCGGATCGGATTCTAGCGTCGGTCAAGATACGGCACCCGGTACTAAGCTTACGGTGATGATGGGTGGCCATTGGTGGGATGGATGGAAGGAGTCCGATTATCCCGACCATGACACAGCCGTTGCAATGTGTCGTGCGTTGCTTCACCGGCATCTAGGTATTACGGACGCACCCACTCTAACGAGCAGCCGGCTGCAGCGGAATGCCATCCCTCAATACACTGTTGGGCACCTGTCTCGCATGCGCGAACTGTCCCGGTCCACACGGCATGAGCTTAACAACAGACTTACTCTTGCGGGAAGCTGGTATAACGGCGTTGGTGTGACGGATTGTATCCGACAGGGGTATTTAGCGGCGTCGTACGGCGTCGGTGCTCGAAAGCTGGGCCCTGGCGATGGCGACCGCCCCTGGAGGAGGTTCGACTATGAAAAATGGGAGTTGGAGGGTGGCATCGTCACATCTCCGGTGCGATGGGCAGAGGTGTATAGGAGCGAACGCAAACATTTTTAAGATAGAGATTCGTCTATGGAACTCTCTGACCTGTATTATATTGACTTGGGCTAATCTCGCCAACATATGAAAAAGCTCGCAGTATTGCAGACTTCTCTTCTAGAACATAGTGCGTCACGAGTTGCCCAGAGTAGGTCCGTACTGACTGATAGATACATTCAAGTCGAAGTGAAGAAGAACAGACACGTGCCACATAGAATATGAGATGGGTAGCCAGAGACTTTTATTACTCTAATTCATAGGACAGTGCTCCTGTATGAGTGACAAGGAGTTCACTGAGATTTTCCATATCAGAGTCCCTCGAGTAGCTGACAGGCGGTAGTACGCCGGCAGCTGCATATATGCAGTTCAGATTAAAATTCCAACCGCGATGTGGCCAAGCCTCGTCTCACTTGACAAGAGTAGTTGTGTCGTACCACAGAGGCACTAGTTTGCTCGAAAAAGCTTTGATAGTAAAAAGCCTCTCCGGTTATCAATATGAACAGCATCGGGACCCAATCGGTAGACTGCCTATCATAGGACGGCTGCCGGAAGAACAACTGGATTGATATAAAATACGTGATCGATCGTATGTCGTATTGGGCTCAGACTTTCTCTTCCTTCTCCGCAGAGCCGTCTTTCTTGTCGCCGTTCGAATCAAATCCGAGTGCGTCAAGCTGGCGGACCAGTTCCTGGATCTTGATCACCTTCTCCAGTTGCTCGGGAAGTAGGGCCTCTCCTTGGTTCTTCTTGTCCCGTAGGTCGCGTGCCTGCCGGAGTTTCTTCTTTAAGTTGCGCGCCTTCTTTTCGTTCTCGGCTTCTGGATCGATCGTTTCTTCAGCTCCTCCAGTGGCCTTATCCGATCCATTAGACTGCTTCTTATCGGCGCCCGAAGCCGGAGCACGCCAATTGTCGATTTCATTTACATTTTTGCCCTCGGTAGAAGCTGTTCCTTCTTGAGCTGCCTTGGCTTTCTTCTTCGCTTCCCTTCGCTTGGCATTTTTGTTACTCGCCGCCGTGCCTGTTTTAGCAGGGTTTTCATTCTCGCTTTTCAAGCTTTCTGCACCAGGCACTCCAGTGTTACCACGGTTCTTCCAGGCTTGTGCAGCGCGGTTCTTATACAGCTCCACATCCTCAGGGGGGCGATAACCGGGTCGGACACGAATTTCGCGGCGCTTGGAGCCATCGGCACGGACCGATGAGGGGATAAAGCGTTCCCCGGTGACTTCGTCTGTAGTGATTCCCGAGTTCGTGGCAGCCATGGCTGTTGGGGGGGGGGGATTTTATGGTATTCGAATAGAGTTTAATTGTTTCCTCCGGCCGACTCGAAATGAAGTAATATCAGGAATATGCGGTAGTTATTAGAGACCCCAGGGAAGACGCAACGGTGACGAGGTATGAAGGGAGAGGAATTGGGCCACAATAATTTTGTAGGTACGAGAGCGTGAGTTGAGGTGGTTTCCTGAGGCGGCCATTCGGAGGCTCTGCACAGACTTGGTTCCGGCCGTCCAATCAGCGTCCCGGTGATTCCCGCTGGTGCTTTTCGCGCCGGCCAACTTGTCGGCTCGAAACTTCAACCTCGCATTCCTCCATTGTGACATAGTCCCCGTCTCCTTGCTGCCTCTCTTTCGTTCTCCGCCCTCATTCCCTAATTCAAACCGTCACAATGGCCGGCGCTGTAAGTGATTCTTGCTTGGAATTGACTAATGATGTTCAATGGCTAACCACAGTGGTTACCGCTCCAGATCGCTTCCGCTATCTACCAGCATGTCTCCCCTCCCCGGATCACCCGACGACGGTCTCGTTGACTATCTCTTCGGACTCACTAACTTGTGATCTTTCTACGGTATCTAGGGGCCTGATCCGCAGGAACGCTGTTTACCTCACGGCCATCTTCTCCAGTGCCTTCGCTTTCGAGATGTGCGTGTCGACTTGACCTTGGTCTGTGATCACAGACGGCTGACCAGCTTTTGACAAACAGTGCCTATGACTCGGGCTCCAACCGTATCTGGGACGCCATGAACCGCGGCGTACGTTTCTACCTGTCGACCCTGACGAAATGAGATTATCTAGGACTATCGCACTGACGGATTCTACAGCGTCAATGGAAGGACATCAAGCACCAGTACATGGTCAAGGATGAGGAGGATGACGAGTAAAGAAAAAGCAGTAATTGATGGATCCAGCCTGGGGAAAGTCGTTGGTCCCATGTTATAATACAGCCGAGCACTGGAGAGACATTGGTATATGCTGCGTGTGCCTTGTATGAAATAGAATCTTTAACACTGTATTCACCTTGGAATTCACTTGCTGCATTTTCTCTAACCAATCACTGTGTTCCTGCATTCATCTGTGGTCTATAAATTTATGCTTCCGGTGGTGGGGAGAACAGGAGCTGCGAGATGGTAGTGGCGCCAAGAGCCGTTGTTCGATGTCATACTTAGAGGATAAACCCAACCACAACCACCATCGGATAGTTCCAGTCGCTCTTTACGACAAATGCCATTGCTTTGTTAACTCGATCCTTTCGATTTACCGTGATTCTCTCTTCACTATCTATGCAAGGGACGACGAGTTCCAGACGAAGGCTACTAATGACCTGAGAGACTTAATGGGTGGGTTGCCCGTTAGGTTGTTTTCGCCTTGACTCCCACCAAATCTTTCCACCCCACAGTGACATCGATCGCTGTCGAATATCGGATCACTAAGCGTTCACTGATAGGTTTTTCTTCTCGTCTTTTCCTTTTTCACTAGCCTCACCCTAATCTAATCAACCCCCGCCTTGCACATACCACTAAACTTTCCGTTTGAGGAGCCTCTCAAACGCTCTCGAGCGATTTTGTTCATTCCTTATCGCGAACAACCCGGACTACAGTTCCGTCCCGCCACACGGAGCTGTTAGCTCGCCGTCACTCCCCTCGCTCGATACTCGTGCAAATTGAATGCGTCTCCTCTGCTCCGACTAGAGACGATAAATGATGCTTACAGAATGTGAGAGGATCCTTGGTGAAGGCCTTCAACGGCTTCCTTCCAATCACAACTACCGCTACGGTCCCCAAGCAGAGAAAGATCTGCTCGAGCTCCTCTTCCGCTCGCTGGCCGGTCACAACGAAGAACGCCTGCGACAGCTATTCTCCGACGGGCTGCCAACGGGGCCGTGGAAGCTAGCAGAAGCCCAGGGCGCTAAGGAAGGGGCGGAATATACGGAAGCTGCGCGGGGCAAGCGGTGTGGTCATATCTTCAGAGCTGGGGAGGCGACGTATCGATGCAACACCTGCGCTGCGGATGATACCTGCGTGCTGTGCAGCCGCTGTTTCGACTCCTCCGACCATACCGGCCATCAGTATACGATTTCTATCTCCTCGGGGAATTGCGGATGCTGCGACTGTGGTGATGAGGAGGCCTGGCGACTGCCGCTGTTCTGTGCCATCCATACGGACAGCGGCGATAAAAAGGGCAAGGAGCGGGAGCAGGCGCAGCTCCCCCGGGAGTGGGTGGATAACATCCGGCTGACGGTCGCTCGTGTGCTCGACTACTTCTGTGATGTGCTCTCTTGCTCGCCGGAACAGCTGAGATTGCCCAAGACGGAAGAGGGTATCAGGCAGGATGAAGAGGCATCACGGCTACGCCCGGGGTGGTATGGTGAGGGTGATCAGGCCGAGGACGAGCCGGAGTTTGCGCTCGCGTTATGGAACGACGAGAAGCATACCATTCGCGATGTTGCTCATCAAGTCAGCCGGGCTTGTCGAGAGCGGGATTCCTTTGGAAACGATAGGGCCCAGGAGACCAATGATTACGGACGGAGTGTGGTCAAGTACTCGAAAGATTTACAAAGGTTATTGGCCGTGTCAAGGATCATCGAACAGATCAAGGTCACCGTGACAATCCGGTCCGCCCGGGATACGTTCCGCGAGCAAATGTGCGGGACCATCGTGGAGTGGCTTGCAGATATTTCTGGGTGCAGTGTTCTTGAGGACAACGAGATTTTACGCCATACCGTCTGTGAGGAACTGCTGAGTCCATGGCGCCGCGGCAGCGGAGCCTTCAATGCCGATATTGGTATGAAAGGTCTCGATGACCAGCAGAAGTCGGATAATGCACCGTATCGCACAGTGATGCTCACCGTATCGCCTCAGGGCCAAGTAGTATTGGCTGCGGATGATGATGACGAGGATGAGGATATCGAAAACGGCGATGAGCAGGGTGTAAACGAAGAGGTTGAGGACGATGAAGATTTCGTCGAGGGCCATGATGATGATGACGACGATGACGACGAAGACATAGAGATGGATTTGAATAGGCTGCGCCAGGAAGTTGAAGACGAGGATGAGGATATGGTGATGGGAAATGCGGATGACGCTCTGGATACCATCCAAGCTCTCTTAGGTTTCGCTCGTCAGCGACAGAACCCTGACAACGAACAGCAGCAACAGGAAGAGGAAGAAGAAGACGACGACGAGCAACCACCCGCAGAAGCAATTGAAACTGAGGCGCAGAATGCCCCTAACGATTCGGTCTCCAGTGAGACACACGATGATGCCTCGGCGTCTTATGTCCCCATCCCCAAAACACCCTCTGGTGTAGTCAAGCCTTCCCCGGCAAAGACTCCGAGTTATTGGCAGGTCAGATCATCCGTACCTAAGAGAGGGGAAAATGTCCCTCCATATGAGGATTTATGGCAACGCACACGGCTCGACTGGATGATTCTTTTCGACCTCAGGCTTTGGAAGAAAACGCGTACCGATCTTCGCGATCTTTACATTGGCACCGTCGTGAATGTCCCTCAGTTCAAGCGGATCATGGGCTTGCGCTTATCTGCTCTTTACACTGCACTTGCGCAACTTTACCTGATTGCCGATAGAGAGCCAGACCATTCCATTGTCAACCTGTCCTTGCAGCTTCTTACCACACCTTCAATCACGGAGGAGATAGTCCTTCGAGGGAACTTCTTGACTAAGGTCATATCCATTTTGTATACGTTCTTAACTACGAGGCAGGTTGGTGAGCCATACGAGGTAAACCCCAATGCGACGCTGGCGTTCGATGCTGGTTCCGTGACAAACAGGCGCCTTTACCACTTTTTCTTGGACCTACGGTATCTTCTGCTGTCTGAGTATGTGCAGAACCGCGTGCGGACCGAGGAGCAGTATCTCTACCAGTTCTTGGATTTGGTCAAGCTCTCGCAGGGCATCTGCCCCAATGTCCGTGCCGTAGGAGAGCACGTCGAGTACGAGACGGACGCTTGGATTAGCGCATCGATTCTCATGCGGGAGATCAATAGGCTGTGCCGTCAATTCTGCGAAGCATTCCGCAAGCCCGAAGTCGACGGCGGTGAGAACTTGCTACGAGCACTGAGAGTGGCTACTGTTGCCGCCGTTGCCCACTCCACCGGAATCGAGCGCAAGCGTTTTGACCAGGCGGAGATCAAAGAGTACGTTCGGTTCAAATCGCTGCCGTTCTTTGACTTCGAGGGCGACGACCAACCGGGTCAGGTCTCACGCCACCGTGTCGTAGACTTCGTCGTTGAACGAGGCTCCATCAGTTTCCATCATGCCCTGCACTACACTCTGTCTTGGCTACTTGAATGCGGCCGTAACATGAGCAGCTCTTTGATGCGTGATGCCCTGCTTGAGGCAGCGCAGGCCGCGAACGACAATTTCATTCACGATAGCAGTCTTGCCCCAGAAGATTTACTTCTCTCCATGTTCGACTACCCTCTCAGAGTTTGTGCCTGGCTGGCCCAGATGAAGGCGGGCATGTGGGTCCGCAACGGGCTCAGTCTCCGACATCAGATGTCACAATACCGTGGCGTATCGTCTCGCGATTTCGCATACTACCGCGATATCTTCCTGCTTCAGACGGCTTTTGTAACATGTAACCCAAGCCGTGTCCTTGCCTCGATTGCGGATAGGTTCGGCATGGTGGACTGGATGACGAGAAGCTACATGCCTCGTGCTGGATACGAAGATAACCAAATCATCGATGTTGCTGAGGAGTTTGTGCATTTGCTTGTCATCTTGTTGACGGATCGGAACTCGCTCACAGCCATTGATGATGGCGATGCCGCGATGTGCGAAAACATTCGTCGTGACATTGCACACGTTTTGTGCTTCAAGCCTCTGTCATTCTCGGACCTCTCGACTCGCCTCAGTGACAAGCTGCTCGAATCGGACGTATTCCAAGATGTGCTGGAAGAGGTAGCAAGTTTCCGCCCCCCTGAAGGGCTGAATGACACCGGCACTTTCGAACTAAAATCCCAATACATCGATCTCATCGACCCGTACAGCGCCCACTATACCAAGAACCAGCGAGACGAAGCGGAGAATATATACAGGGAATGGGTGGCGAAGAAAACCGGCAAGAAGGCATCTGATGTGGTGTTCGAACCTAAACTCCGGCCTATCACTTCTGGGGCGTTTATCGGCCTTCCACGCTTCACAAGGACCTTGCTATTTGCCCAGATTGTTCACCAGTGCCTTGACTACGTTGTCTCCTCGAAATACTGCACACCGAACATCCCACCAACCCGTGTCGAAACTTTCTTGCAAGTTGTTTTGCACCTGATCCTTGCTGCTGCTCTGGAAGACAGCACGGTGGAAGATGGGATGACGGAAGAGCCGATGGAGTCATTCGTGTCTCACGCGCTAAAGAAAGACAGAGCCACCCAGGCCGGGTACCTGACCATCGTTGGCCTCCTAGAGAAGATTTCGATCATGGGTGAATTCTCTGCTTGTGGTCCTAAAATCCGTCATATCCTTAAGAAGCTTTGGCAAAAGCGCCCCCGTGCATATGCTTCTGCAACAGCTACGCTCAAATTCCCGTTTGACAGGGTCGATACAAATTCTCCCGCCATCGACACTGACAATGAGAAAGAGATCAAGAAGAAGCAAGCTCTTGAAAGACAGGCCAGGGTGATGGCTCAATTCCAGCAGCAACAGCAAAACTTCTTGAACAGCCAAGGCGCGATCGACTGGGGCGAAGAAGATTTCAGCGACATGGATTCCGAGCCTGAAGCGGCCCCTGAAACTAAGCTTTGGAAGTATCCGAGCGGCACTTGTATTCTCTGCCAGGAGGAGACAAGTGACTCCAGACTGTACGGAACTTTCGCTTTGGTTCAAGATAGTGGTATCATGAGGCAGACAGATATACGAGACCCCGACTGGATCCGGGAAGTGTTGAAGACGCCCTTGAGCTTGGACAAGTCTGCCGAAAGTGTGCGGCCTTTTGGAGTCGCAGGCGAAAACCGCACGACAGTGAAGCGGCTTGATTCGACCGGCGGGGAGGTTATCAGTGAGAAAGTTGGGTTGAGTAAAGGCTTCAATGCGAAGAATACCCTGCGTGGGCCTGTCACCACGGGCTGTGGCCACATCATGCACTATTCCTGCTTTGAGGTCTATTACACGGCTACTCAGCGACGCCAGAGCCAGCAAATAGCACGAAACCATCCCGAGCGTCTGACTTTCAACGAGTTCGTTTGCCCTCTCTGTAAGGCTCTGGGCAATGCATTCCTACCGATCACTTGGAAGGGCAAGGAAGAATCTTATCCAGGTGTACTACACACCGCTGTGTCCTTCGAGGATTTCATGGCTGGCGAGGTCAAGTCTGCCCTGTCTCATCCACGCAATTACGCGCTGCTCATGGAACATAACAAAATACAGCAGCAGTCCTATCAGGACCTTTTCCTTGACTACCTCAATAAGAGCTTGGTCCCCCCACTCGCTTCCAAAACAGACCAATTAATGGCATCCCCACTGCCATCGACCGCCCATTATGTTCAGCAAGCGAGGATGCCGGTGCCTGGTCTCTTCCCATCCCAAGATGATCTTCCCGCTGCCAGTCCGCTCCAGCAGGTTTCCAGCCCAGGCGACAGCCCCATGTCTGAACTTCTGCAGATCTACAAGCGGCTCAAGCAGACGCTCCGGTTGAATCACATCTACTCAACGTTCAGCCATCACCCAGACACCATAAAGACAGATGACCTCGTCCACACGGATTCGCTCTTCCAGACCTTCGGCTTTAGCATCGCTGCGGCTGAAATTCAGCAGCGCGGGGTGGAATCGGAGCCAGGATCGACTCTGCTGGAGAAGATTCCCCAATTAACCCTGACCCACCTCCGCGTTCTGGCTGAGTCGGCTTTGACATACGCCGCGGTTGGGTGCTTGCATGACAGCAACGGACCTCACACCCGCTCCGCCGACGAGATCCAGGAGATGCACCGCCAGAAGATTTGCCAATTATTTGTGGGTCATCCTTGCTTGAATGGAACGGCGCTGCTGGATGATGTCCGCGAAATTGAGCCACTACTGGGCAAGGACATTTTCGTGTTCCTGGCTGAATGCTCTTTATCCCTGCTGCCGATTCTCAATGTCGACATTCGCCATCTCATCCAAATGTGCTATGTGGCCGAGATCGTGAAGGTCGCTGTGACCTACATCCTTTGGCCGCTCGGACTGAAGGAAGAACTAGCCCATAATGGTGATGCCCATTATCTGTTGGATATGGAGCTGTCGGACGAGCGGTACAAGTCCGCCAGGCAATTCTTCATCTCTATCGTTGCAGAACTCAAGTCGAACTCCGTTGGACGGGCAGAAGGATCATCATTCCCTGCCGAGAGTGGCTACGTCAAGGACGGGGAGGATTCTGCACGCCCGGCGTGGTCATTGCGTTGAGACGTCTGGTTTCGAGCTACGCATTGACCTTCCTGCGCAAGGCTGTTATCCTACTTCATGTGCAGCACGGGGTTGAGTTCCCCAACACCGGGTTCCACGACTTGGGTGTGTCCGAGTTGGACCGTCTCACTAAGGCTCTGCACCTTCCTTCGATCGACGATATCCTTGCGTCTATCAGCACGGCGAGGAAGAGTGGCAGTCCTTTCGATGCTGTGATATCGGGCTGGATCTTCCACTGGAACGCCTCGCGTTCAGGCATCCGCATTGGCGATCATAAGTTATGGCCCAGTCTCTCTCATCCGGCCATCTTCGAGCTCGTTGGGCTTCCCAAGTATTACGACAGTTTGATTGAGGAGGCTAACCGGCGACGTTGCCCGAATTCGAAAAAGGAGCTAAGCGACCCCAGTATCTGCCTCTTCTGTGGAGACATCTTCTGCTCGCAAGCCGTGTGCTGTATGGAGAACAAAATGGGTGGCTGCAATCAGCACGTTCAAAAGTATGTTTATCCTTGGCGCACTACTATCACGCATGGTTACTAACTGTCTCTCCCCAGATGCGGCAAGAACATCGGGCTATTCATCAATATCCGCAAATGCACAGTGCTGTATCTCCACAACCACCACGGCTCCTGGCACTACGCACCTTACTTGGACCGCCATGGGGAGGTGGACCCAGGCCTCCGGCGCAATCGCCAACTGATCCTGAACCAGAAACGATACGATCGGCTCCTCCGCGACGTGTGGTTGTCGCACGGCATTCCCGCGACGATCAGCCGGAAATTAGAAGCTGACATCAACAATGGAGGCTGGGAAACTATCTAGGGGTGGTGGCCTTATGCGGAACGGACTTAGCATTCATGTACCTGTTTTTGATGTCTCATGTGCAGTTGAGGCGGGCTTTGCATTACTATTCCCATATCTTCATCCAAAAGTCATTACGACCGGCATTTTGCATTAGTGTTTCTTAATTCCCCCATTCTCAGATACATATTCCAGTTGATCCAATGTATGATTCGCTTTAATATAATTTTCGAGCTTCTCCTTTTGCAAACTTGAGGTCAGGAACCACGGATAGAACGTCAACACCTATGACCCCATCCTTCCCCTTGCAGTACGTATACGTCACGGGCCATCATACAAAGCCCATATACATGTCTGTGGATTAGCCACCACGTGTCTTCCAAGTAAAGCCCCTGGCGGTCCACATCAGGATACCATATTCTCTAATATTCACCTGTCTCATCCATACAGTGAGCTTCTCCCCAATACAAGATGGCCACCGAAGTGTCCATCACGATCAACAATCTTGGAAACATTTCATGCTGTACCAGTGAAGCCGTAAATGTGGAGATCCCACTAGATGACATCCGAAAAGACCCATCGAGGTATATCTTCGTCTTCCAAGACCCCAACGACCTAAAGAAGCTGTTCGAGCATCCCACACCGGAAACAGTGGAAGTCCGCGATGGGATGCGCAAACTGTGTCTCAAAATCCTGTATCCCAATTCGGGGGTGCCGTTGACTCTGGAAGAAACGCACGGCTGTATTGAACGGCCGCACATGTCTCGACTCATCCAGAGTTGGAGAACGGCCTGTCGGGCGATTCCGAGGAAGCACGGGGTGGAGGAAATAATCTTCGATATGTCCTGTGATCCGGGAATCGAAATCGGACACATCGTCCGCTTGCTGCAGCATATCAGCCCGACGATGAGTCTCAAGGCGAGAGGCACGTTTCATTGTCAGGTGCAGGGTTGTGATGCCGAGAGGATAGAATTGTTGAGACAAAGTCTTGTTGGGGTTTGAGCTTTTTTCTAACTGGAACCATGAGGTGGTGTACCGATTCCGGGTCTACAACGGTTGATATACACATATCCGGTTCATGGCTGTGCCGATTTTCCTGGTGTCAGGAAGGGCCGGGAGTCTCTCAATCTGTAAGGGTAGCCACAAATCAGGGTTAAAGCAAATTATGAAGGAATCATGGATACGGAGGATAGGTGAAGCCCATACGTTCCTTCCCTCCGCAGCCCCGAAGGGGCTGTGGGAATCCAATTCATCTGATCACAGAGAGTGTTCCCCAACACATATCATCACATCATCATATTCCAGCCATCCAACTACAAAGCTTGCTCATAACCCCATCGTTAATTTTGACCACTGCCTTCTTATTTTCTTTCTCCTTCGGACAAAACGAAAATGCAGATTAAACCGATTCATTTTTTTCCTCCTCAGTCTCCACATCTGCCTGTCAGATGCTATCAGTCTGATTCAACATACGAAGCCGAGATGTGGTGGAAAAAAAGGGCTCGATGCACCAACATCCCAAGCAATGTATGCTGCCGATCAGCCGGCTTCTGCTTGCAATGACACTGGTGAGCCCGATTTGGTCGACATCGGTACTAACTGGTTCAGTGTAAATGATACCTCAGTCCCCGAGGAGTACGTTACAGCTCCGGGTGAGGGGCACTGGACCCAGCGGGGGCGATATCTGAGTGGAGGTTGAGACTATTGAGAAGGTCATGACTGCCAAAATTGCTTCTCCAATTGAGGAGACTAATTCATCACTGTTTTCTTTATATGCTATACCTGTTCTTCAGTACTATGACCGGGGTGTGGCGCTTCTGAGGTACATTAATTTATTGTTATTGACTGTGACGAGGAAACCAAATAACAGAAGCCCAGAATTAGATCACTCTATATATACATGTTGTTTTCCAACACTAGAATGACGAAAAAAGCTGATAGTGTGTCTCTGGACCACACAACTAGTAAGAGAAAAAGACGTATATGGGGAAGGACAACAAGTGATATATATATTAAAACAGTACAAACCCATAAATATGCCACCAGGCCCTAGGATGGAGAAAAAGAAAAGAAAAAGTAACTATCTAAAGTGGTAACAGGACACCAATATGGCAAAGATGGATGAAGGCCGTCTCCCCGACGCCAAGAATGCTTGACGTGACCTACTTTTTCTTTCCGCCGACAAGTCAAGCTTCCCTCATGACCTCCAATTTTGCAACTACCCCAACGCATACCTCAATACGAAGAATGACCAGACAATAAATGAGGATATCCTAATCGCAATTCCTCTCTCTCTCAGTTACATTTCTATTCTGTTCAATCTTACTCACAGGGAGCCAAGCTACTTGCACAGTACCTCCTACCTCTTATCTCCCTCGATAACACCGACCGGAGCAAAGAAATACGAAAAGATGAACAACGAACAATTCCGCCGTCTCCTCGTCAACAATAACAACAACTCGACCCAAAAACAATCCCAGTCGAGTACATCTCCAGCCCAAAATGCCTCTCGCGGAGGTGGCGCAACGCCCGCCCTGCTCGGGTCGCGGATGCGCTCCAGCATTCCCATGACCCCGTACGTAATTTTTCTATTCTACACTACCGTTAAATAGAAAAGCAAAAAAAGAAACTAAATAATATTTATACTACTAGTCGCTCCGTAACAGGCGTCGACTTCGCGCGCCAACTAGCCGAATACCGACGCGACGGACAACCGGCCCCGAAACGATTCCGCTCGTCTGCGGCGCCGAAGGGCACCAAGTTACCGGCCGGGTACCAGGATCGGGCGGCGCGGTTACGAGACACCGGCGAAGAGGAAGCGGGTGGGGATGACCTGGAGAAGAGGATTAAGGCGTTGGAGGAGATGGTGAAGCTGGGGCAGATTGATCGCGAGACGTTTGAG